AGGGAGAGGGGTTTACCAAGTGCGCACATCGGACAGGTACAAAACAGTGCATCACCATGAACGATAAGTGCCATAAAGCGCGTGGAATGCCTAGTCTACATGTTATGATTCAATCACAATGCGGCGCCCTATGACAAAAAGTAGACTGCGGCAAAGTAAGTTTATTGGTCCCACACTAGCAGTTTCGAAGAAGAAGGTTGCTATGTCAGTCATGGACTTTACATTAAAAAAAGAAAATGACCGATATAAAGTGCGCAACTCTGCAAACATGAGCGAAAGTCACCGAGCCCGGTCTAATCAAGCGAGTGAATGTAATAAGAGAAGAAAATCGCACCCAGTGATTTTGCGTTCACGTCCGGCAGTGGCACTGCCAAGAGTGACTTGCTGACGACATTAAAACTAAATGGCCAGATTATGAAGGTACTGGTCGATACTGGAGGATCAGCGGACGTCATAGCCAAAAGGACTTTGTAAAACTGGCCAGCATCAAAGCGGTAAAGACGAACCGACGACTGCTGCCGTATGGATCGAGTATTCCGCTGAAGCTGGACAGTCAATCCTTTGTAACAGCTGCAGCCAACGATCGAGAAGTCCAGGGCTCATAGCAGCTCACGGATAAATCTCGCTCCTCAGTGGAATAACGGCAAGAGCTACTTGGTCTGGTGCCCAATGGAGGTTGCGTCAATTAAGTGACTGAAAAGGGACCCGCTAAGTTGTCGCTGGAACACGTCCTGAACGAGCACAAGAAACTTTTTGATAACAAACTGGGACGACTGGCGGACATCAAGGCCGGCCTCAGGTTGAAAGAAATGGCAGAGCCAGTGTTCAGGGGAGCGAGACCCGCGCCATATGAGCTGCAAGACGAAGTCGACAGAGAATTGAAAAAGTGGGAGGACTCAGGGCTCGCTGAAAGGACCGCACTGACTGGGGCACACCTGGGCACACCCCTGGTGGTAGTGCCGAAGCCCGGCTGAGGGGTGAGACTGTGTGGTGACTGTAAATTGACGGTTAACTCTCAGCTGAAAGTTCCGCAGCATCCCACGCCGTGCTAGGAAAACATTTTGACAAATTGACCGGTATGAAGAAAGTTTTGCTAACTGGATCTCAGCACGGCGTATCTACTGATGAGGCTGGACGGGAACAGTCAGCAGCTGACTGTATTGAACACCCCGAAAGGACTTCTAAAAATAAAACGCTTATCATATGGTATCTCAGCGTCGCCTGGCATATTCCAGAGCACGATGGAGAATGTGCTGGAAGGCCTCCCTGGTGCGACCTGCTTCTTAGATGACATCTTGGTGGCAGGCTCAACGGATGCCGAAACTCTTGAGTGGCTGAATGAAACTCTAAATATATTAAATAAATGGAAGTTCGTCTTGAAGGAGAAGTGTGAGCTCATGATGACGCCAGTTCAGTATCTGGAAGTAGAGCGGAGCGGTGAAGGCGTCAAACCAGTGAATAAAAAGTGGACCACGTGTTAAATGTACCAAGATCTCAGAACACCAGCGAGCTGAGAAACTTCCTGGGAACAGCAACCTTCTAGGCCAACTTTATGGCCCACATGTCCAAAGTGGTAGCTTCGCTACATCGATTGCTGAAAAAGGGGCAAAAATGGCAGCGGACGGCAGTCGAAGAAAGTCGCTTCCAGGCTCTTGCTGAAAACATACAAAATGTGCTGAGGAACTGCCCCGGGTGCCAGGCCGGACAGAAAGAGAGACCGGCAGTGTTTTTACACCCCTGGCAACACACACAAAACCCAGCGGGAGCGCGCCCACCTCGACTTTTGCGGAACCTTTCAGAGACTGCCACTATCTAGTAATGGTGGACAGCCCTTCCAAATGGCCAGAACCTGTCACAATGAAGAACATCACCCCAGAAGCGACAATCAGTGGACTGTCAAAGAGATCGTAAGATGGCGTCCAAAGTGATTCGAAGAATTCAAGATCAAGCTCGGCATCAAGCACATTCGGATTGTACCATATCGTTCTCAGTCCAACGGACTCGCTGAAAGAAGGCCTTCGTAAGCCTTTCGTTTTGTTTTTGTTTTTGTTTTGTTGCCATTATATGCCTGCTCTTAACGCATTGAAAGCTCTGTATTCTAGCTAAAGCTCTGCACTCTAGGTACAGCTCCGTACTCCGGGTATTATTAGGCTACCAAAGGTCCTACAAGGTTTCAATGCCAGAGAGTTGTCGCAAAATCCCCTAAAAAAAACAGTCTATGGAGCGCAGCTTGAGCGACGTGCTTCTTGTGTCCCGCCTTTTAACACCGTTGCATTTTCCCCGTCATGCAGACGACTCTGGCTGTTAAGCGTCACAATATATCCGGTCGGGCGATTAAGAGAAAACAACCAAAATGGCCAGCTGCGAGCGTTGCTAGTTGGATTGAGAATCCAAGCTTGAAAACCGCTTGAGCGTGAGCATTTACTTCTTTCCGCCACTGCCAACGTGAGAAAATGAACGTTACTGGCCAATACATTTGTACGCTGAAGTGCTTTGTTAAGTCCAAGGTCAAAAAGTTGCAGCCCCTACTGTTATCAAAACATAAATATCTTAAACATCCTGAAGCCTATCTAAGTGTGTCGTCATTGTCGCCACATCAGTCTTTAAGCGAGGCCATCCAGCCCGGCGAGAGTCCTTGACGGACCCCTGTTTGGCCACTAGCCAGCTCGCATTAAACAAGCTGTGATATCAACGACGTCGGCAGGTTGATCGCATCGGAGTTGCGTACAGTCGATCGTTTGCGAGTGTCCCCTCCCCCGGCTCACTGACAAACAAATCGGTCCCCTATGACAAACGGGCACGCTCATAACGCTCATAATGGCCTACAGTTCGTGATGTCTGCAAGTTTTATAAACGACACTACTTCTACTGCAAAAACTTACACGCGACACTACTGCTAAACGACAAAACTTATGCTTCAAAACGTATACTCGTCATTACTTTTACAGCAAACATGCAAGTCATTGCTTATACATGACTTTACTTCTACTGCGAAGACTTATCACGCGACATTAGTGCCCCGCGACAGCACTCATACTTAAAAATTTATAACCGTCATTTCCTCTTCTGTAAAAACTTATAGTCAGCGTTTATACACGACGTTATTTCCACTGCAAAGACATAAACACGACATTAGTGCTAAAGCAAAGGCTTGTGGTCAATGCTTTGCAGCATAAGCCAATGGTTGGTATATGTTTTCGTAACATATATTTTGCTGTGTGGCACTCATGTCGAAGGCAAGTTTTTGTAGTAGAAGTAATGTTGCACAAGTAAGTAGAGACTGCTTAAGTTTTCGCAGTGCATGCAATGATGCGCACCTATTTTTGAAGTACAGATTTTGTCGTGCGGTGCCTACTTCGCGATTATATGTAAACACTGTAGGTAATGACGAGCAAAAGTTCTTGTCGTCGTGCATAGGTTGTTGCAGTGGAAGTAATGTCGCGTATAGGCAAACTCTATGAGAGAGAGAAGAAGTAAAGTCGCATATAACTGATGTCGTAGCATTCTTGTCGGTAGAGTTCTTGCCGTAGCAATAATCTCGTGACACATGGTGGAAAGTAAGCCCCAACTAGTGTGATGCTGTCTGGTTGTGCCGGCCGAATAACGATCGAGCAAGCTTCAAACCCATCAGCTCCAAACTTCAAGCTCAGCCTGCACGCATGGAGACGTCACGCACAGCCTACGCAAGCAGGTCAGGCATCTGTGATCGGTGTGCCTGACTGATGGAGCTGGTGCACTATCCCAAATCATTGCAACCAGCTCAGATGCAAATAGTACCGGACACTGCGCAAACAAAACACCACGCTGCGACCGTTTCCGCTGTGAATAACCACGTCACCATAGTAGCTTCCTAACCCGCATCTGTCCTCCACCCGGGGTGCTCCGCGGCCGGCGGGCGTCACTGGCGCAACTGTCCTCCGCCTGGAGTGCTCCTAGCTAGCGGGCGTCACTGACACAACTGTCCCCCGCCCGGGGTGCTCCGCGGCCGACGGGCGTCACTGGCGCAGCTGTCCTCCGCCCGGGGTGCTCCGCGGCCGCGGGCGTCACTGGCGCAGCTGTCCCCGCCCGGGGTGCTCCGCGGCCGGCGGGCGTCACTGGCGCAGCTGTCCCCCGCCCGGGTGCTCCGCGGCCGGCGGGCGTCACTGGCGCAGCTGTCCCCCGCCCGGGTGCTCCGCGGCCGACGGCGTCACTAGCGCAGCTGTCCCCCGCCCGGGGTGCTCCGCGGCCGGCGGGCGTCACTGGCGCAGCTGTCCTCTGCCCGGGGTGCTCCGCGGATGGCGGGCGTCACTGGCAGTCAGTGCTGCAACGTGCCGGTCATGCCGCATCCGTTTAATAGCCGTCTGTAATTCCTGAGACAAAGCGTCGTCGTGTGGGGAGTTGATGAATCTCCGCAGCCACCTTCCACAAAGGTAAGATGCCTAAGGATATCAGGAATCGGCGATGATGAAGAATGAAGAGATAGCGGGTGCGGAATAGCATGCTTGCTGTCGATGTTCATCGCCATCACCCTCAGAAACGCGGCCATCAGTGGCGTTGTAAGCCTAACTTTTTAGCGACTATACGCCACGGGTACACACGTCACAACTCACTACCGCACAGCAGGAGTCCCACTTAACTTCACTTATTAATTTCCCGAGCTAGCGAAACAAGTCATCCGTTCAGTATATACGTGCGTGTAAAGTACGCGCGTTTGTACACTTGCAGTTACACGTGCGTTTCACTGCTGCTCCCCTGGTAATCAGCTGAAGCCGCGTTATCAAGGTGAAGATGGCATGAACGCAAACCAGCCCAGCTGCAGCTCCGGCGACCTCCTTCGGCAGTTGGGTTCAGCACGCACGGATCAGCAGCGCCCGGCGGCGGCATGAGACGAGAGTCCGCGGCGCGGCCGGACCTCGGGCGTGCCCAGAGGGCCCGACCGACACCACCTGACCCGGGACAGGTGCAGCGGGCGGGGCAACCGAGGTCAGGAGTGACGTCTGACTGCACTCAGTCACGGTCCAGCAGCTCACGCGTGAGGGTGAGCGACATCTGTATTGGTCTTCATGACTTATTGTGTGAAGGTGTGTTTGTGTGATGGTGCGTCTGTGTGATGGCGTATGTTGTGTGATGATGTTTGTCGTGTGATGGTACTTGTGTGGTGATATTTTTGTGGTGATATTTAAGCAATGATGTTTGTGCGATTATGTTTGTGTCGTGTTTGTGTGATGGTGTTTGTGTGGTGGTGTTTTTGCGTTGGATGGTGTATGGTGATGATGGCGATGATAGTGTTTAATGGTGTTTGAAGGTGTTTTGCGCGTTTGTGCCTATGATGCTGATGCTTTGCAAGCTTCTGCTCCATAGCTGAGTTTCCTATGCTGTTCGCTGAAACTGAGTCTGATTCAACGCTGCTATCTAAATATGCGTAATGCACATGTTGCGCATCTGCACTGCTCCTTGGATACGATCGTGTTTCCCGTTCAGCCCGCTAAGTCTGTGCGTTTCACATGCCGTTTCCTTGTTTCAAATGAGTGCGGCCTAGGACACATATCTCATACCGGGAATCTCTGTGCTGTTTCTGAGTAAGACGTACATCTGCGTACATCGGCGCGTCCGAGTCGTGCATCTGCGTACATTGGTGCATTTGAGTCGTGCATTTGCGATGTTTCGATACATTTCAATGAAATAATTTTCTTTATTTTTTAAAATTTGCTCTCGCGCCTCTCTCCGCGCATCTAATACGTACACCCCTGTGCTGTGCCCAGGGTACGCATGCGCTTGCCTGTTGCCCCCCTGGTAACAACGATGAGCATGTCTCCGTGCTGCTCATCAGACCTTGCACGCTTGCCATGCTTACTGCTTTACACATCAGGGACGGTGTTACTGGTTCGGCGTGTCTTTAGATCACTGTACTGGTTATGCCGACAGGCACAACTCTCCTTGAGGTTTTCTCTTGGAGTTTTTCGGGATTGGAGCTAAGTTGCAGAAATTACGTCCCAGAACAGCAGCCGTAAGGCTGGGAAGATTTGATATTTTAAACCACAGCCAGGTGCACTTCAATATGGGATAACAGCTGACAATATCGTCGCGAAGTAATGTTATGGCGAGCATTAGCTTGATAAATCGTCGCAGTTCTGCACCATTCATTCTTAACAAATCGTAAACCAATAGCCGGCCCAATTCAGCACCACGTGTAATCTTGAGATAAATCCCCAAGCGCTAGTGCAGAGGGGGAGCGCCTGTTTGTCAGATAGCAGCATTGAACGACTGATTGACCAATCGCGATCTGGCCTCTGTTTTCCGTGCATGCATTGACCTTCCGCTGTGGACCCATCAGATTTCCGGTCGGCCGGTGCGACAAAACGGACAAGCTCCGAAACGAAAAGCCAATAGTCCAGCCATGTTGACGCAAATAATTTTTGCCGTCGTTCTGATCGATGTCGCGAGCTCCTCGAACCAAGGTGTGATCGCTCAGAGTGTCTGCCTTCCCGGATTTGCTTTTATTATTATTTGCCTACATTCTAACACAGCAACACACGCAACTGACCTGCACCTTGCGTCATTTTGATCGTGCATTTCGCTGTGGATAGAGGCGTCATCATTTCGTATCGCCACAATTTCGCAGCGCTGCTTATTTTGCACCCCCGTACGCCGGTGCAGCTGCCTAGCTGACGAACGGACGGGGGGGGGGGGAGGGGTACAAGTCACATGCTACATCCTGCCTATCTTGTTCTAGACCAAGCTCCAAAGCCCCATTTCAGCTGCCTTGTGTGTAGATTCCCATGAAGTCTGCAGGGACGACAGAGCCATGCATCCGCGAGGCCCTGTCTTCGGTGTGGTGTTTTGCAGGCAGTTACACGGAGGCGTGCGGTAACCAGCCGTGTCCGTGGCCGCTGAAGTGCCAGCAGCACGGCGACGTGTACGTCTGTGCGCGCGTGCCACCGCCCACCTGCGCTGCCACCAGCTGCCCGTCCGGATTCGAGTGTGTTCTACAGCAGGCGCTATGCGACTCCCTGCCCTGTAACCCGCGACCCTACTGCGTCAGGTCGAGTGAGTAAATCCGCTCACAGTGCACGCTAGCACACAAACGTTTGGCCTAATGTGATAAGTTTGGGTGTCACGATGCTCCAAACGTAAGGCAAATTTATCGTCTCGTATGTCTCGCGCTGACTGTCACTGAGGACGACTGGCTCTTGACCGCTAACGGGAGCTAGGTGTGAACTGCGCGACTTTCCGCGCACTGATTATGTTAACTTGTTTCCGAATTGAGCGTCACCGCTCTCGACCCGTTTGACATATTTTGTTTTTCTGGTTGCGTAAGTCAGTACTTTGCTCAAGAGCAGTTGATGGGATGAATAAATACCCACTTGCTTTGTTGCTCGATGAGAACAGCGTCGTTGTGCCTGTTTATCATCCAAAATCTAAAAATCCCAAGAAATCGTCCAATACTCCTAGACAAGAGAGAATCACAATACCCAAGCTCACAAAATCAAAATCACGACATCCAAAGTTCAACATCAAGCGTTCATGACGTCCGAAGGCCGTAGAACAGTGCTAATGGAAAGCAATTAACTGAACGTTGTAATGCTGGATGTCACGACTATTGGATGTCATGATCTTAGACGTTCAACCTTTGGTGCTATGAACTCTGCCAATGGGCACGTATTTGGACGCATTTGGAATGATATGGGCACTGGATGCTACGCTCATGGGCGTTTTGGCGGTTCTACTCGGCGCCCCGCAGTGCCTGCATGTAATGTCTTTCTTAGATCTCTGTACGGGGTACTTGGAAATGGTCCCGGCTGACGCTGTATGGTTCGGTAAGACACACCAGCGACCCTGGCCGCCGCCATTTGCTGGGCATTGGACAGCCTGTCGCTGTGACCTCTTTGCGTCGTCATCAGCGACCCTGGTCGCCGCCATTTGTTTGTCATTGGCAGAGACGTCGGCTTCGTTAAGTCTCTGTGCCGTGCGAGCCTACGCCGCTCGCCTTCGGTCGTCGGTTGCTGTGAGGAAGCTGTACACATACATACCCGCCTCGTCATCTAAACGCCGTTGCGTATTTCGTGTATACGCTTCCCCGCTTACGTTTCAAACCTTTGCCATTACGGCATCGTGAGACCTCGCTACATTGTTGCATGTGCATAGCATGTAATCTGTTCAGAAACGTGATAAATAATGAGCTGCGACATCGCAAGGCCCTCGCTCATTCACACGGCTCGACGGGCCGAGTCATGTCCATGACCAAACCTGTACGCCATGCCCTCGTGATCTGTAGTCCACGCAAGGTGTCACCTTGGCTATTCTGTCCCATCATTTAGTCGCCAATGGCAGCGTCGCCAATCGTCGCTCTAAGCAACGCTTCCGTTGTATTTTCATTTGCCTTTTTGCAATTACTATTTTCAATAGATTTCATTGGCACTGAGTGATATACCAGTGGAATCGATCGCAAAGAGCTATTGTGAAAATGCAACTGGACCACTGTTTTAATCATTTCTCACGGCTGCATCTACAATCCATACCGTTTCAGTAGTAAATCGTGTCTATAGATTTTACTGTTGGCTTCAAACCCTTGTTTCTATAGCCTTGCAGCAGAATGTACAGTTAAAAATGCGTGAGCTACTTTCTTGGTGCATCTTAGCACAGATAGTGAGCATGCCGAAATAGAAGCATTTAGTTCATTTCAGTCGCGATCTGTAGTGACATGTTTTTCAATCCTCAGATGTTGCTCTGCTTCGTCTCCCATCCACTGCCCATCCACGTTGGGCTTTATGGTTATGAAACCGTAAGCTCTCCCCTCCCTCTTTCACACACTCTATGGCCGTCACTGACGTCGGAGCGGCGTACATTGTGCTTTTTAGAACGTCACAAGGGTTGTACCCGCAGCGAGTGCAGATGCCGCCGCCATCGGTGGCGAAATCCGCTCTCTACGATTGCAGAATCTATAAAAGAACTGCATACAACTTCCAGGGTGGCCACGAGACGTTCTCGAAGTACACTTGCTGGACTCCAGGATATCGCTCTCAAGGTTGCTAGGAGGCCTAGAAGTGGATTTTGGTCAACATTATCATAGACGCTATTGTTTTTGAGAAGTGCGAAAACCCATGGACTCAAGACTTCTCAGGAATCTGGATTAATTTCTGGGGCAAATTCCGGGGGAACGTCTTTCGGTTCGTTATTTGGCAACGAAAGGCATACGTATAGTCTGGTACCCAAAGTCTCCTTCAAAGGACGTGAGTCAATTTTTCGGTCCGGTGTTAAGTGTTACTCCAGTTTATTCGGTCCGGCTGGTTAAGTGCTACTCCAGTTTATTCGGTCCGGTTGGTTAAGTGCTACCAGTTTATTCGGTCCGGTTGGTTAAGTGTCGCTCCAGTTTATTCGGTCCGGTTGGTTAAGTTACTCCAGTTTATTCGGTCCGGTTGGTTAGGTGTTGCTTTAATTTTTTAGTTTAGTTTAGCGCTTTAGTGGTTTAGTTTAGCGCTTCGAGTGGTCCGTTCTGAAAACACTGAATTAGATGTACCTCAGGATAGCTAGGGCTACCTCGGTTTGTTGCCACCGCTACTCCGGGACTCAAACTTGTGCTCCGGCCTCTCAGATCCCTGAGGAATCTGCATCGCTCCGGACGAAATCTGCGAGCTGCTGCCGGTTCCGTTCTGCCGCCGTGTTGTCGAGCCGACCTGCGCAAACAAGATCAGCCCGCACGGACAGAAGTGCAGGGAGGAGCCCGTCGCCTGCTTCAGGCCTCCGTGTCCCGTGGACCTGGTCTGCGATTAGAGGCGCCTCCGGGGCTTTAATGCACCATCACCGGAGTCTGGACATCGCGTGGTTGATGTTCGCGGGGACTGGGAGCTGCCCGCGATCAGACATCTGCGTATCGTCTTTTAGCGGCCCGTCAGAGAAGAGATCTGCGGCCTGTGAAAGTGCGCTGTGCATTGTGTGGTGCGTGGTGTGTTGAGCTTGTGCTGCAGTCCTCCGGTTTTTAAAGTTCGGATTTTAAAAATGTTGTTTTATGGGCGCGGCTACTGTAGTGAGAGCCTGACCATTAAATATAATGAGTTTCGAAAAAGTAGTATTTATGTTCTGCTGCATCTGAGACCGCTGTCGGGCTTGATTTTTAGGGTTCAGCAAGGTGTTACTTAGGGCCCCAACTTTCGAAAATTATTTGAAACGCTGAGCAGAGGGAAACTGGTCAAACTTATTTCCACTTTTTTGTCTTAGTACTGGGAGGGCTAAGGTGACCCAACAATAGAAAACTGCGCCCCCTGGTGTTTATTTCAAGTTGATACCAATGAATGAAAACAAAGGTACATTCACCATTTTCAAAACACCCCTCCAACTTTCAGTTGTTTGATACAACCCTGCTACAATGAGATCTTACAAACATCTGCCACACTTTGCAGAATGGAAACATGGAGACCACAGGTATGCGAGTTTGACTATATAGCCTTAGTAGCTGAGTGCGCTGTTAAGTCGCAATGACGATGCACATAAAATAACGGCGGTATCTGACTCCGCTTAATTTTGGTCTGTTCCGCCATCAATTTGCTTGCATGCGTTTTTAACTAAGATAGTATAAATTCGATAACATCGAGCCAACCAAGACCACAAACACCGAGCCAAACCAAGACCACAAACACCGAGCCAAACCAAGACCACAAACACCGAGCGAACCGAGACCACAAACACTGAGCCAAACCAAGACCACAAACACCGAGCCAACCAAGACCACAAACACCGAGCCAAACCAAGATCACAAACACCGAGCCAACCAAGGACCACAAACTCCACGGATGAACTCTTATCAGCTGGCGTTTTTCTAATAGCCATTCTCGAAGGCAACTAGTTGATAAAAGGTACATTCATACAAAAATGTAATTACCGGAATTCATCAGTATAGAATCAAGTACCATGACCCACAGTGAAAATAAGCTTACCATTGCTCAACATGTGCTTGGGGACTGTGTAGATTTGCAGACAATGGATAGCGAACCGATTATCACTTGGCCGACTCACACTAGCGTCACCATTCCTGTTACGCATGTATTTGGTTTCTGACCTACATCTCATCTGTCTGACTTGTCACACGGTCGCTGGGTCTGACCACGTCTCGTTTCGATATCAACAACAAGGGTAACATGTGACAAGGAATGTGACAGGAATTTGCGGGTTTGACAAGCGAGAAGGACATGAGCTTGGCATAGTCAGATTATACAGTTCCATTCCGATTTTTTCAAGTCAGGTGTCTCAGCCGCTTTTGGCTTGCCCATTCGTTACATCTCTGTCAGGGGGCAAAACAAAAAAATGACAAAGAAAACCGTTGCCACTCGGGCAGCTGCGACACTTGCATACATTTTTAGGAGATCCTGTTCGTTGGATCTTTGGAATTATAACGGTGCTTCTGTCGCTCTAGCAGAGTATTGGAATATTTGAATGCGGTTGATTAGTGCACCATTCATAACAGACACCTGCGCCTAATAACTGATTATCATTAGCTTTATTAACCGCGGTGCTAAAATTTATTTTGACATATGATAGCACACCAACATGAAAAGTAAAAACAACAAAACAGAAACGGTGTAACGAACCTTTTTCGCCATACTCAGTTGCATCTATCTAGGCTAACGCATGCACCTTACCCGTTGGCTGGCGACCGCAAGTGTTATTCAATTCCATTTGCACTGCTGGGCGGAGAATCTCTTCACGCCACAGCGTGGAATGATTTTGGCGCTGGGTGGATGTTTTGATCGTTTGGGTGAGGAATCTCTTGACGCCAAAACATATACTAATTCAAGTATTGGATATTTCAATTATAGTTCTTAGAAGAACAACGGCCAGCATAATAATTCACACCTGATCAGAGTACGGAGATGCTCTGCTTTGTATTTATTCCGTGGTGCTTAACTTCATGCACGGGAAGTAGCACGATTTAGTCTAGGAAGAAATGCGTCTATGCGGCCTGGTGGCTGCATATCATTGAGCCCCAGCTATGGCTTGCTACGTTTTCTGGTCTGCTACAGTTTTTTGGTTTCCCAAAACTTGCAATCTCCTTCTTTGTCAGAGCTCCCATGTTTGGCGCGTCAATTACCGGCAGCAGTATAGGGTGTGTTTTCGGTAGCGAGGCGGCCAGCTCTAGCAACGGCCCCACACGACGCGCCGCCGGGTGGGCGTTTTCTGCGCAGCATTGCTCACCAGAAATTCCGTTGAAATAACACCCCTCAGTTCCACTTCATTGACATATGAGTGAGAGTGTTGCCATAAGCGTAAGTGGGAACGAACACCTTTGGCAGTTGGTATGATATGAAATAAATGCGTCACTGGAGGTCCACAAGCCAGTTTTTCGCGAATGTGTTCCAATTACGCCACTTTTTGCGCTGTTTGCTCCACCTTCCCGCGAGTGTTTCTGGTGCTCCTGCCCACATTTGACCTTTTCATGACTCATCAGGAATGCCTGACATTTCGGCACAGCCACAATAGTCAGAGTGTGACGACGAGCAGCCATTGGTGCAGCTATGCTGACGCTGGTAGCCCTCGCCGTGGTTCTGGTCGGCGCCGTGGGTAAGTTTGCTTCGCATTTCTTTCCGCACAGATGCTGTGTTTTACCAAGCGGGGGAAGGGGGTGGGTGTGTTGGGGTGGTGGAAAGACAACTGCAACGGCATGCAAGCACTTGCATTTTGCCTCATTTGTCAACTTTGAAATGGCTGCCGCATCATATCGCCCATCTCCCGTCTGGTCACTGATCGAGATGTACCGGCGGCGCCTGGTTATCGGCCAGGCAAAGTCAAACGCGCGTCAATGATGGTGGCTTTCACACGGCATAAATTTGCAGCGTGATTGTGCATATTTGGAACGCGCTGACATTTGGCTCTTGGTTTTGCTCCTGAACGGTCGGGAGGGGCCGTAAACAACACCCACGCGGACCCTGTCCGACTTCCCTAGTCAGGCTGTATTTTTGCAGACGGGTCCACACCCACGGCGCTCTGCGGCACACAGCCGTGTCCTGAGCCGTTCGAGTGCCGTGAAGAGGGAGACGTGTCGGTCTGTGTGCGCGTGCCAGCCCCCACCTGCGCTGACACCAGCTGCCCGGCCGGACAAGAGTGTATTCTGCAACAGGCGTTTTGTGACTCCTTACCCTGCGACCCGAAACCTACTTGCGTCAATAGAAGTGAGTACATTTAAGTATCTCACCAAGCAGACAATGATGAATAGTTCATTCACAGTAAACCAGTACTATCATGATTCTTTTCGCAACGCATATGACGAAACTTTTTGACATGAGCCCGGATTTTGAACTGAAACGTGGTCAATGGTTTCACTTAAGCGAGTGCCTACTGATTGGCATGTCAAATGCAAGCAAAATTATGTTGTTACCATTCACCTATTTGTTACCATTTGTTATTTACTATTCATTAAATTATTACCATTCGCTATTTATTGTGTTTGCGCTGACGAGCCCAACTGCGCGAACTCAATGCATTCCAACGCAAGGTGCCTGTTGATCTCCACTGAGCGCACAGCATTGTCCTGCCCTGCTAAGAACGCTGAATTGCTGTGCACACCACCTTCATCCCGACGTCCGTAAATGTTTTGTTCTGTTCTCAGATCCCTGCGGAACCTGCTTTGCTCCGCAGGAGTTCTGCCAGCTGCTGCCATGGCCGATCTGCCGTCTTGTCGTAACGATAACATGCGCCAACAAGATCTGCCCGCCCGGAAAGAAATGCAAGGAGCAAGTCGTTAACTGCTTCAGAGCCCCGTGTCCCCCGATCCCAGAGTGTGTGTAAATGATTCTGTATGTCTAATGGCATCATATGAGATGATGGCTACCCGAAACACGATCGCGCATAGATAAAACACGTGTAAGGTCTCGCTTGGGTACGTATGCTGGGGTCACAGCATTAATATTATTGTTGCGGATCATCTTGGCCTTCTAAGACACCTTAGCCTTCCATCTTATCGGTTCATAATTTACGATGCGATGGTCAAAATCGATTTTGCGTGTGGTTTTGAAACGTTTCATTTTGTTTCACTAGAAAGCTTTTTACATCAGAGACATCTGGTACAAAATGCAAATAACTATGCAATGGTAAGGTGATCACCAAACATGCATAATACGTACGTTTCCAGATAAGTATTTGAAAACTTGGTTGCGATAATGCTAAACCGGTGCTGATCACGACGGAAACTAGCTTTTAAGCGTAATGAAGGTCATGGAGTAGAACGTTTTGTTCGGTTTCTTGCTTAGTTCGAGCATTGCCACAGTTCTTTATCAACATCAGGATAATTGTGAGCCTCGTGTATTTTTGTTATGCTCAAATGACGCCGTGCTTAATAGGTGTAATAATCCTAAAGGAGTTGTCATGCCATATGCTCTCGTTACTGGTGAACAATTACAGTTTATATTGGGGTGTTCCACGCTTCAGGCGTTCTAAAACCCAAAGGAGTAGTTCCGCTGCTTCAATACAGGATGGTCATGAAAAGAATAGTCATCTGATTATTTCACGAAATATCCAGAAAATAAGCAGCATTTCTTAAATGAATGAATCCGAAACTTTGAATGGATGGCTTCTGAGATCAGCGCTCACGTTAAGAAGTGCTTGTGGTGTGAGCACTGACACTTCACACTCGCTCGCGCAACTGCAGGTCGACGACAGAATTTGGTAGCAGAAGTTTAGCTTACCACATCACTCGGCACGGTCCGTCCTGCCCTCTAACGTCAACTGACCTTTAGCGCGTCCGCTGCCGTCGGCCGCGAATCACACCTGTTGAATGCAAACAGCGAGCTGTTGTGGTGACTCCAACACACACCGTCACGCGTGGGTGGATCGGAAGGCAGGCGAGCTAACCAGCTGAGTCGCCAGGACGGGATTCACCAAAGCACGCTAATGTGATCATTTCATAATATATAACGATAAACGAAGCAATTTGACTGGCCCATAAATGAGTTGTCTACGCCCCATGCATCACGGCTCACCCGAGATGTTCAACACAAAGCATTCACAGCATGATTTTGAAGTGAATATCGTGAGTTGTACTTCGTATTTGGACACACCTCATCGCACCTCTCGTTTAACACGCGCTCGGGTGGGGTGGGGGTGGGGGTAAAATTGACCCCTCTGAAGATTTTTCCAGAATGGTTTCCAAACGGCGCGGCGCAGCCGCGCCAAATTTTTCACAGCTGTAGACAACTGAATAGCAGATCGTTTGACATAAAAATTTATACGTGCCTTGTAAATTCATTGGCATATGACAGGTCAAAGTCAGGCCATAGTTTCAACGAAGGCACTTCCTAGGGAATCGTCCAATCTGATGCAATAACGGAGAGTTTGACGGAGCCCTACATCTCTGAGATGCTTTCTTAGGCACCAAAAATATTGAATGAGCAAATCACGTTGACCTAAGGTCAGGTATGAAGGTCAGGCCAAGGCCAAAAACAAACTGATTTATTACTCTAGGGCTTGCTGTATGGGATAGCTTGTGGTGCTCATTTCGAATAGTTTGACAGCAGGAACCGCATTATACGTCTTCCATTAACTTCTTAGGGGTCAGAGCAGGTCATTGACCTAAGATGACTCGGGTCAACACTTTGTTTTAGGAACATACTGCCTAGCGTAATCTTTGTCGCTTATTCAAATGGAAAACTCAGAGCAATCTTGTATGATTTTGTTCAAAAGATCAAAAGGTCAAACAAGGTCACTGACTTCAAAGGGGCTTGTGACCTTTTGCTCAGAAACAGTTGCCTAGGTTCTGGGGGCACTTTAGAGGCCAGCCTGGAATTTGACCTTGTTTGACGTTATTTGACCTGAAGGACATGACCTGGGAAGCTCAAACTTTCACCTAAGTCAGTTCACGTACGGGTCAAGACACTCTATGAATTTAGTGTCTCTAGCTCCTTTAGTTCCCGAGATCTCAGGGGGGTCAAATTGACCCCCACCCGAGCGAAGAGTATCTAGCCGGCCACCCGGGCGCGTGTTAGAGGGATGGAGTGATTGGTTTCATCCGTGCTGAAAAGCAAAGTCACACCAGCATCACCTATCTATCTTTTCAGTGCACTTATCGAACATTGTAAATGCCACACAATTTCTCATATAAGGCCTTTCAGCGGGTTATTCAGCTGATAGTTGCATTTAAACATACCCCTTTTACACCATAATTAGTACAAACAATGTTCTTGCCTCCTGGTGCACTTGCGCCGCTCCATCCAAGTTACCTTATCACTCCTGCATCCCTGATCCTCTAAACACTAAGGTCGCACACACCTTACCATATTTTTGTCATCTGCAGCCACATGGTTCAAGCAAAGCCACCACTTTTGTAGGTTTGCAGGCTGCCGAAATGTATGCTTTGTGTTCCAATGTTTACGGTATTCCTTGCTTGCATTTGTGGTGATACACGACCAATCCAAATTTCACTTTGCAGTTAGTTGAAACACACATTGTATGACATGAAGATAAGGAAAGCGGAGCTGTGCGAGCAGGGGAGTTGTTTCGCAAAAAGAGTTGGGAGAGGACAGGTTAACACCAAAAAATTGCGACACGTACAGCCAAAATACACCGACAAATTGGTTGTCCCCCATGATCTGGACCATTTTTTAAGTGTGTGCGGGGGCGGGGAAGGAGAGCTGTGGCTCCCACACTGAATAGGAAACTACAGCCCTGCTCAAGAGGTGATCGCACCTGATACCTGTGCAAGGGTCACGCGGCGAAAGAGTCAGAAAGGAAAGTTAACGTGATAACGGTCATTGTGCATACCAGGATGCAATAAATGCGCATGGCTAGGTTCATGGTTAGGTAGGAAAATCTTTTTTTAGGGAAGCTTACTTTGCTCATATCCCGTGAGAAAACATCCTCTTCTCTCACTGCTCTGAATTGTTGCAATTGCTCATGCTTAAGCTAACACGGGGGCGTGGGCAGTTCTCAGTGATGAGTGGGTTGAAACATTGATTTACGGTGGTGCATGTAAATAATGACCTAAGAAATCCCCAACTTAACACTGGGTTTCCCAACAACCATTTTGGCTAAGCTCTGGCTCTATATGCTTGTTGAAATACACGAATAGATGCTTTCACTCTCGTTGATTGACAGTATATCTGCTACCAAGAAATTATGGCATGTAGTACAAGCAGCTCAAAACCTATCACTCCCAGCTTTTTACCAGTCATATTCTGTGGAGACTGCAGGCACAGCAGGGCATGGTTAAGCGGAGTGTTTCACATTTGAACACAATTTATCCAGCATTAGATATGATGAAGCAAGCTCACTTAAAACCATTGGCATACTTTTAGGTAGCAAAACTGCTCTAGACAGCACAATTCTCTGTGTAGTAAATGTTCTCCCCATTGCGTCATGGTTTTATTACGTCATCGTACCTTACACAGCATTGATTGAAAGCCAATTGACGGCCGCGCGCTCACGAGCGCCAGATATGAACGCCCCGACAATTATGTTCTTCTTAGTCTTGATCACCGCATGGGTTATGCAATTACGGGATTTAAATGAAGCTATTATGACGTCATGAATGCTAGGTTGACTTTAAAATACTCTCCCCAAAATACCTTTTCCCATTTCTGCAGACATGTACCTCAGAAACTAGAGCGGCTTAGGTCTTAAAAAGGGCAGCATTGTGATGAGCACCGAAAATATCTATTTGAGACAACGGAGGTAATTACTGTAAGAAAGTAATGCATTAAGTTCAAAACACAATTAATTGCATTACATATATCTCAGCACAGACACAGTACAATGGCTAAGATGATTGATTAACTCCCTCTGTTCTTCCATTTCATGACAAGCATGCTAACAGTTGTCCCTTGAGTAGTTTCAATGTATGAAGCAATGATGTTTTCACCTGGAATATAGCGCATTTTGTGTATGCAATGCCTCATCAGCCCAAGACAAACCGATCGGTAGAATATAGCGAAAACATGATAGCAGACAGCTCCAGATTCAGGTGTTTGTCTTTGATTGCGGTATTTGAATTGAATGGATGATATTGGTAATATGGCGCATAGCCCTACTGGCCCTCCTGACTCATCACCGTCCATCATACACTATCCGATGCCGCTTGAGATACACGTACCTACCTTGTTTCGACAACAGTTATAAAACAATGACGCTGCATTCAATGGAAAAACTGCATCTTCGAAGCTCTTAAATCATGCACCTGCACATCATGTACAGTTCGGTCCCCAAAATCACTCCTTTGGCATCAGTTGCGAAGTGGAGTGAAGTCCATCCCTGACCGATGCACTGTGCTATCACTAACACGGAATTTGTGATTAATACGGTGTTAGGCTCCTATTTTAACAATTGCAGTTTAGGCCTCGTATCAATCAGTTCCAAAGGCGGTGCATCCTCTAACTTAAATAACGTATATTATGATTGTCATGCTAGGAAATATGCAACTGAAATAAAGCTGCAATGCTTGTTTTTAAGCAGCTACATAGCTCACATGGATCTAGGCTGGCCGGATCAGACTATGTTGCAATCAATTTGAAGAGGCGCAGCCAAGCGCCACTTGAGAACCCCCTTACCTTGGGTACGATGTTGTGTTTTGTTTTTCATGGATGGATCAGTAAACTGGTCGCGACAAGAAGTAAAAATCCGTTTGATGCTTAGTCACTGGGCTCGCCTCCCTCCCTCCGCCTCCCTCCTTCCTAAGTAAATCTTGAATGCGTCCCTGAGTCTAGCCCTCGGCCCGATAGGAGGGGGCAGGGGTGGGGTTGGGGGAGGGGGTGGTGAGGGGTAGCGGTACGCCTTTTCCTTAGGTTTTCTGAGGATATGCTCAGCATGTCATGTGTAATTGCACATACATTTTCAGTATCTCATGGGGCATTGCGCGTGTTGTGTCACAAAACAGGTGTTTCTAGCATTTCTGCTCTTCGAGCAGTAGCGGTTTTTCAGGAGCACTGCACGGTCATCCGCAGCCGGCACGGGCACCTGGTGCTAACCGCCACTAGCTTTGCCTGTCACAAATTCATGTCTGTCCATACATCATTACGAGCCGAGGGACCGTAGGCCGAGGGGGTCTTGGCCAACTCATCGAACAATTTCGTGTTGAACAGCCTGTTTCGACCGTGACGCTCATGGCAGTTCTTTTTTCGCAGCCACCGTGAAACCGTGAAAGCGTCGATGCCCATGTTTGACACTGTTCAAAAATGACATTCCTTGGACGCTCATTCGTGAACGTTGAGTCTCAAATGGCAAAAGCCTATGCAACAGATGTAATTTTCCGCAAAAAAACTCCAATTTTTTAGTTGAGAAATCAATTTGGAACGTCATTTGGTGCAGTTTACAGCCCCAGCCATCCTAAGATTTAAAGCCCCTTAACTTCCGAGGTACACGCTCTCAAAGATACGCATGCTGTTTTCTCCGGCTATCTCAACGCCGTTTAGGCACGCCTAAGGCATCGTCGCAGCGTCATCCAAATTCTGCCACCCCATAGACGTGGCGTGCGAGGCCAAGCACACGTTTCAAGCCATTCAAATCTCCCGTCCGTGAGTACTACTTTCAACTCAAGTGGATGTCTACAGGATTTCATTTAAAGTAGAGCAAATTGTGCATATCGTGTTTTGTGCTACATGGTCTTTAAAGTTGTACATGGTTGCCAGGTTAGTACGGAAAAAAGGCTGGTAGCCGATAACCTATGGATTGCACCATAACCAAATATGTGAATATAAGTTGATTTGTTAAACTCGCGGAAAAATCTGCAAGAATACCACGAGAAACAGCAAAAACAAGAGCACAACAATATTTGTCTCAACAAATACTTCCAGCACCACCACTGCAGCC